GGAGAAGGACATCATGCTTGGTAAAGTAGAGGGTCAGTGAAAAAAAGGAAGACACTCCCATGAGATAGATTGACACAGCGGCTGCAACAATGGGCTCAAGCATAACAACAATTGTGAGGATGGCGCAGGACCGGGCAGTGTTTCTTTCTGTTGTACATGGATGGCTGAGTCGGATTGGACTTGATGCACTTAACAACAACAACACAACACATGTACCATTTAGTGACATTGATTACAGTCTTCAAGTTGTGCAAACATTCTAACCCTCCTTTTCTGAGTTGTTCATCCCCCATTAACATAAATTTACTGCCCCCTAAGGTTCCTATCTTGTCTTTCAAGTTGCTGTTATCAATTTGATCAAGTATAGATAGTTCTTAAAAGAGCCGAATGCTCAAGGCAGACATTTTTTACTAGTTCAGCTAAACTATTGTTTGGTTTTAAGAAGGCTTCAGGAGATATTTTTGGTTTAACGTTTAAAGATTATCTCAGGGCAATAGTGTCAGGGGTTCATCCAACCTTCATGGCTCCAGAAAGCCCGGAGCCTATGAGAATCTAAAATTCTGTTCTGTATTTCCTCCCTTTTGATCAGGATTCTATGAAAGTATTTTGAATCTGCACAGTAGTGTACATCATAGAAATTACCCTTTTGTGATCCTTAAGAGAGGCCTGTTTTCTGTGACACTTTATGCTAATCTACCATGCCATCACCTTGATACTGAAATGCTCTCAGTTGCTGTTTATCATAAAATATCTTTGAATACATCTTTTATCAGACTCACTCACTAAGGGACTTGGGACCGAGTCATAGAAGACTGTAGCTGTAAATACCATTATTTTAAATCATACATGACAAATTGAAAATAATGTGCCATCTAGCTGTACATCAGCATTGTTTAAGTAAATGCAACATAGAATACAGGTCCCAATGCTTTTACAGACATTTAGGATTTGCTCACTGCAGTATAATCTACTTGTTTATTACTTCTGTGTACCTGAGCAGTGATAGGCCAAGTGGCTCTATTAACGTGCCTCAACTCATCCTCCACTGCTGAGCTATTAGTGGCAACCTGCACTTTGCAACGTTTGGTTTCAACGTAAGTCTATAGAAAAAGACTCATTTACATTTATTTACATTCTATCAGTGATAGAAGATAACAGATCGTTATGGATCTGGTTGGTGAGGGTAAAGTTCATGTACAAAGACCTGGGATGATGTCTGTTGCTGTCAAATGACACCATGGTATGGTATCGCTGTATTTTTTTTTTTTTTTCTGTTCTTTATCTTGCAGAATCGAGATTTGTCAAGAGAGATGACAACCGGCTAGGCATCAGGTTCAAAAGAAGATGGCTCCCCACAAATGCCAATTTGGACAGATAGCACCAAATCTTTGAGTCTGATGCTTAGCCTTTCATGTAGACTGATTTAGAAACATAAGGAAATTACTTATATGGGTCATTTATTCTTTTGTGTTTAACTTCAATTGTAGAGTATATGAGGACATTGAAGGAGGGTGAAAAATTATCTCCCAAGTTTCTGTTTCATATGATATTAATGGAAGCTCTATTTTAAGAGAGCAACTCTGCATAATATTTAGCTCAGAGTCCATGTTCTTGCAATTTGCAGGTGAAAGAATCACAACTGAATTAGTTTGGTAGCAAATAAGTAGGAAGTAATAAAGTTTATATTCCAATTATAAGCACAAAGTTCATTTTGTTGTTTTCTCAGAGAAAATTCATTTTGAGCTCGCTCTCTCACACTGTGCGTCTGTATTCTACAATTTGTCTTATTTGGTCTGTCTTTGGCTCTGCTCTCTCTGAGCCTGGTTGCCTTGGTTACCGTTACATACAGCTTGTATGTGAAGTTCCCCTTTGACGTACATTCATTTCTATGGAAACAATGATGTCACTGGTACGGGTAGGTGCTTAGGGAAAGTATAACGACGAAGTATTGAATGGTGAGCTTTCCTTTGGTCATAAAATGTATCATTAAAGTATTTTTTAATTAGAGAATTATGTTTTTGCTTTCATTTCGGCTTGATCATGCAGCTACTTTTTTTCCTTGTTTACAGAACTGCTTGAATAAAATGACTTAAAGTGTTAAATATACTGCATAACATCTTATGGTAATATATGGTATACATAAAAATCTTCACAGATACATCTAACATTAGAAGAGTTATTACTCTACCCTTAAAAGCCTCTCAGAGAGTGAAAAGTTTATCTCAATAACGTTAGTAATCATGAAACCGCTATTGAGCAATGAATTTTATATTCACATCATGACAATAAGCAATGCATAGATGATGGATCAAGGGAAAAAAGGCCCTATAATAATTATTTTTAAAAGGTCTAGTTTTAGAAATGCAAGGGAATAACAGCTAACAAATAGTTACTAAAACATCTTTTCTATAATATTAAGTCCTTGTAAAATTGATATTCCGTTTTCTTTAAATCATAAGAGCCTTTTTAACGTCAAAAAAAAAAAATCTGTTTTCCTCTCTGTTTTGCTTCCACACTCCTCCAGTTTATTTATTTATTTATTTATTTTTTCTGTACAGATGATGTGGAAACCTGCTTATGATTTTCTGTATACTTGGGGCGCTCAGTACGGAAATAGCCACAGAGACATGTTACAAGACCTTCAATCAGCTTTGGACAGAATGAAAAATCCTGTGACCAAGCAGTGGCGAGATTTAACTGGAGCTTTAATACTAGTAAATTCTTTAGAGATTTTGAGAGCAACTGCATTCTCTACTTCTGAGGAAGTATAGAAATGAAGGGTATATTTTATGAGGGAGGGGGAGGGTAGGAGGAGAATGATGTATGTGTTTCTTTGAGAAAGAGAGAGAAACAATTTCAGAAAAGTATTACACTTATTTTTTCATATTTAAAAAAAAATGTTTTTGTTGGTGGAAGCACAGCCTAAAACAATATCCTAGTGTAAGTTTAAAACGAACAAAAAAAAATGTATTTTTGTGTATGTTTCAAATATAAACGTTAGGCCACTTGATTGCTGAGGCATGAAAGAAAAGACCTCTCTTTCGAAGTTACTTTTAATTTCCTTGATTTAAACCATATGACTATTGAATAATTACATCAAGTACCCAGATAAACTAGTGGCTCTCAATGTGAACAACTGGAGGTTTACCAGGAGGCAGGGAGGACACAGGAGAGAGTAAACCCACACTCTGTGGCCGGGCTCAGGGCTGCCTACGTACTTTCTGTACCTGATATCTTTTATTCTTCAGCAGCGTTTCCCAGCATTATTCTCCATTTCCATGTAAAGAAACACAGGACTAGAGAGGAGGCCCAAGGGCATATGTCTCTTATGAAGTAGGTTTTCTGTCCGCAAAACCTGGTTCTATCTTTCTTTAAATCATACCATGTAGCAGAATAAAAATTTAAAAAAAGTTTTTAATGCATATTAGAACTTGTTATGTGTTGAATTATGTACCCCCAAAAATGCATGTTATAATCCCATTTGGGAATGGGTTGTCTTTGTTATGTTAATGAGACAAGATTAGTGTAGGACATATTTTGAGTCAATCTCTTTTGAGATATAACAGACATTAAACACTAACTAAGAGCGGAGATGGGGGAAGAGAAAGGCCAAGCCACATGACTATTACCCAGGAGCAGAAGCTCAAAAGAGACAAGGACCTTCCTCCAGAGCCGACAGAGAGAGAAAGATTTCCCCCAGAGCTGGCACCCTGAATTCAGACTTCTAGCCCCTAATCTGTGAGAAAATAAATTTCTCTTTATCAAAGCCATCCACTTGTGATATTTGTGTTATAGCAGCACTAAGTAAACTAAGACAGAATTCATAGGGAAACTGTAGCTTTTTCATTTTTATTGAATGTTGCTACTCTTTTTCATCATCTCTTAAAAGACTGGCAGAAGGAAATCTGACTTATCATCCAAAATCTGCTGTCTGCATACTTGGGCCTGGTATTCTCACTAGCCTCCTTCAGCATCTTGAGAGCTATCTAATCCTGCTGAACTCTGACTTTGTCTGCAGGATCATAATGCTCTCAGGAATCTTTAACAACAAGAGTTATTAAAAACAAAAAACCTGATCTATCACTGTGGAATGTAGCAGTTTTCAACAACCAAAAGTACTAATGTGTGTGTGTGTGTGTGTGACAAAATGTTTTATAAAGGTTTTGGAAGACAAAGATTGTATAGGAATTTGGGCCAACATAAATGGTATCTGCTGGCAGGGTTGGCAAAGAGATGATCTATGCTTACTTGCATGTTCATTCCTCTCACCACCTGCCAGTGTTCACGTGTTTTGGACAGTGGTTCATTTATTAAGTAGTTTATTTGACAGATACACTGCGTACACCTACTCTGGCAGTCACACAGGTGGTTAGGATTAATATTGAAAGAAACAATATGACTCCTGACTTCAGTACTACTTAGTGACAAAGATAGGCAATGATAAAAAATTACAGTTAAATGTAAAATGACATCTCTTTTAGTTGTCTTGTGCTGCTTTAACAGAAATACCGCAAGTGGCTTTAATAAAGAGAAATTTATTCTCTTGCAGTTTAGGAAGCTACAAGTCCAAATTCGGGGCATCGGATCCAGGAGAAGGCTTTCTCTCTCTGCCAGCTCTGGAGGAAGGCCCTTGTCATCAATCTTACCCTGGTCTAGGAGCTTCTCTGGGGAGGAACCCTATGTCCAAAGGATGCACTCTGCTCCCAGTGCTGCTTTCTTGGTCGTATGAGGTCCCCACATCTCTCTGCTCACTTCTCTCTTTTATATCTTATAAGAAATTGACTTAAGACGCCTCCCAATCTTGTAGATTGGGTTCTGCCTCATTGTCATAACCACCACTAATCCCACCTCATTAACGTTATAGAGGTAGGATTTACAACATGTAGGAAAATCACATCAGATCACAAAATGGTGGATAATCACACAATACTGGGAATCATGGCCTAGCCAAGCTGCCACACAATTTTAGGGGACACAATTCAATCCATAACAACATCCTTAACAATAGCTGCAAACGAGGGGCTGTGGTATTAAGAGACATATACATGGGGGGCCATCATCTGAGTGAGGCGGGCCAGGTAATTTTCTCTGGGGAAGAAATAATGAGCCTGAAGGAGGATCTGGCATTTTCTGAAGTCCAGGATGGGACGGAAGAGGCCATCCTTCAATGCAAGGAAGACCTTAGGCAGGAGGGAAACTTGGTAAGAGGCAAGGGAGCCAGCTTGGTGGGCAAGGAGGTGAGGATGGAGCAAGAGGAGGCCATCTTAGGAGCATTACAGCTGCTTGAAGTTAGGAAGGAAACACACATCCTCAAAGGTAATGTGGATGAGCTGAGTAAGGATTTTGTTTCAGGATCCTGAATAAAACATGTCCATTTGGCTAAAAAGTAAAAGTAGGAGTATTCAGTGTACTGGCAAAGGTAATTTGAATTACGGTTTAAGAGCAATCTTTAAGGCTTTCAGTATTTATATTTGATGATAAGAGAACACAGCTTGCTCAAGAAGTTAAGTACACACATTCAAGGACAGAGTTTATTTTTAGTTGAAAATAAATTCAGAAAGAAAAACATACACAATTTGGAAGTTCAGAACACAATAATTTTTAGTGGTGATTTTTCTTTCTTTAGAGTATTCTTGGAATCTTACTAACATGTCAGCAAATCAAGAAATTTCGGGAAGGGATAGTAGGGAATTAATAATTGGGTTTTTCCAGGCTCCCAGATCAGAGAAGACAGAGATCTTGTAGCTGCTTAGAGCAGTAAGATTAAATAAATCACTTTAGGTTTACACTGCATCCTATGTTGTGATTGTGGTCGAGAAGTTTAAGAACAGTTTCAAAAAAGAAAAATGAAAAGGACAACCTCTGTAGTTTAAGGATGAAGCAATAGTTTAAATATGAATACATTATAAATACATTTTGTAATCTCAGAACAAATCCTCTTGGAGGAATTTTAAACCCATGTCCAAACATTCTGTTCTTATAAATGTAATCTAACATCTTCATATATCAGTTATACTTTTTAAAATTTTGCATTTTTCCCCCTATAATGGATTTTCATAATTAGAAAAGATTAATTTGGTAATCATGAATTATCTTTAGTAGTTGACAGCTTACCACAAGCAAGTCAAGGGAATTAATAAGGCACATAACCTATCCTTGACATCATTAAAAGCATCTATTAATCTAAAACTTCTCTAAGCATTTCAAAAGTGGAAAAAGCATAGACGGTTCTTTAGTTCCTCAGGCTTTTCATCTAATAATGCATGCATGAATTAAGGTGAAATTTTGGTCCATTGCTGAACAATTTCTCTGTGTAAGCCACAGATCCTCTACTTCCTTCTGTTAAAGCTTTATCTGAAAGCCAGTTCAGGAGGTGCTTTCACTAGTGTGTCATTACCTGTTGGTACCAATAATGGATATGACACATTTTCATGACATGTAATGCAGAAAAGACTACATGAAATTGTCAATGACTAGGGAATGAGTAGATTTTTAGCAAAAACAGAATATAGTATCCTCATAGACAGCACTGGGCTGAGAAATGTCCTGTTACTAAACAGTATTGAATTTGTAATATGAGCATACAATAAATAAAATACATTCTAAATTGGAAATTACAAGACTTGAATTTTCATACTGTGCTACCATAAATGATATTTTCTGTAAATTTTAATGCCTAATGAATACTTGAGGTAATATAAAGGAAGTGGAGAATAATGAGAAATTATGTTGCTGGAGGCTTTTCTAATTAAAATAGATCATTTTTTCTTCTTGTACGTACATAAATTCCCCTTTTCCATAAGGTTTCCCTACGTGTGCTGTGTGTGTCAGACTGGTACTGCCTGGCTAACTGAAAATCAGGTTTCTAAGATTGCATGCTGCCGTCATGCTAGGTGGGGTTAATCCAAAGGTGTTCTTCAGGATAAAATAATATACTGACAGTTTGTTTCTTCATCCCTTGCTGTCATATTTACTAGTCCACAATACGAAATAAAAGTGGCCATATATACACAAGAAACTTGAATTTGCACATATCTAGCATCTTATTTTATTCAACATCAAGATTTCACTGAATGTTGTAGGAGTTTGTGGCTTTTGTATGTATATTTTACAATGCTTTTCTATTTCTGTACATCCAAGCTTGTGGACATCCAGAAAATTTTAAGCCTAATAAATAGTTTTGCAATTTTTGATAATGGTTTCAATTTGAGAGAGCGAGATGGAGAGATGAGCACTAGATAAAAATTAGTAATTCCAAAGAGAAAATACCTGAGCAAGCACTGGTGTTTTAGCAGTGAGTACAGCATGAAATATTTTTAACCAATGTGATCAATACAGCTATCTGTAGTTCTCACTTTCACTGTAGAATTACAAAGTGATTACAAGCATTTGGTAATAAAGTAGTCAGATGTTCTTTTTCCAATCAGATAGCTCCACATTTAAAAGGATGGTGGTTCTGAGAAGAGGAGATGAGCTAAACAACCTCACTTTGACATTAGTTTATCTCACCTCATTGGTGAAGGACTGGGTGGATCTATGGCTTCCTTTTTTCTGTTCTTAGAGACATTTTGACTCTGTGCTTTTGCACCTGGAAGGCAATTTTAAATGTTGCTAATATTTAAGTTCACACTTAAACTTTGGAATGTACTGGAACATTTAACACATTCATGTAAATATGATCAGTGGTTGAAAATCAAAGCTTAATCATGATGAAATTACTCATTTTACTTAAACTCCTTTTATCAAACTCAGTCTTCAAGTAGAATTTTGGGATTTGCAAATTTGGTGCAATTTTGACCT